TAATTCTTGGCATTTGATGCCACATTTGCCTCCTCTAAGATGAAAGCAACTTTAACTTCAAGTTGTTTACTTTTGCTGATAGTTTGAATCCATCCAACTCCAGGAAAAGTTTTTGGAACCCTTTAAAAGTGTAGTGCAAAGCGAGAGGGTATGCCAAGTTCAGCGCATATATCAGTCCCATGAGCAGCGAGCAGGCTTTTGCAGTACTGTGGCATGGTGGTAAAATCTCCTGGCCTTCAACAAGGATGGAGATATTAACGGGATCCTCATCAGCACCATGGAGAACAACAATCTTGGGGATATGTTTGTTGAAGTCACACCGGTTGTCCTCCTGCATGTAATGCACAACAGAAAATAATGTTTATTCTTTTATTTGAGAAACAAATAAAAGAGCTGCATGAATCAAAGTGACTTATTTATCATGGAATAATGAACACAAGAATACCTCTGTTTGTTTGACTACTTTCTTCTTAACTTGAACATTTAAAGGGACATTGTGTAACATCTACTGTTAAAATTAGCGTTTGTGCTGTTTTGGTTTCTGAGTTTATGGAGGACCAACTCTGCCATATTTAAAAAATATATTTATTGAGCATTTATTTATTTCTGTATTTTTTAAATATGGCAGAGTTGGTCCTCCATACAGACTTAGTTATTATCACAAATGTAAAGTAGAGCAATAATAACTTACCTCAAACCTCTTGCTCCGTCTCTGATCCTATAACATTTGAGTAACGTTTATCCAGTATTTTTGGTTTATCTTCATACAACTGGTAAATATTGAAATAGTTTAAGAAAATATAAGTAAAAGTTACTCTTCTTCCAAAATTCATGTATTAGGCTACATTAAAAAAAGGTTTATTATTTTAGAAACTCTAGATCTTACAGAAGCTTAAAAATTCTAATTAGAAATTATTACAAATACTCTCATAGAGTTTACTACACCAAAAAGTAATTTTTATCAGTGCTCTCAGTCTTCTCAGAACAGAGTCCTCAGTTGCCTAAGCATATTTTCCCTGCAGTGATGCAGGTTAAACGATCAGATAAGTATCTTGGCTGATAAGATAACCAAGCACCACTAAAGGTTGAATTCACTAGAGCATTTCTCCTCCTTGATAGATAACTGCAGATCTAGTGGCATTCTTGCTAACTGATGTATATTTATTTTATCTTCTCATCATTTAACTGTTCTCTCTCATTTTATCCATGTGAATAAAGCAATTAAAGTAAATCATGTCGTAAATAACATAAAGTGCAAAGATCTACTTAAATGCATCCTGTGTTTTATGTGATAAACATTTTTGAACCCTTTTGGATCAAAATCAGTCTTTTTTTCTGTTGATTAAAGGTGATCAGATAAAAACCTTAATATAGTTTTTTAAACAAAGAACCTAAAAGTCAGGAG